CAAGTTTCCCTTAAACAATCTATGCAAGCTTTTAATAGTTTTATAAGAATCAAAATTGCCCTTAAGGCAGGATTCAACATCTGATTAACCCTAGTTTCTCTTTACAAATAGATAAGCATTATCCTTTGTTGAAACATGATCAACAATGCTTGATCCACAAAGCATATGATTATCCGTTGAACGCTTAAAAGCTATATTATGTAGTTGTCACTCTTGAAACTTATGAGACACAATATTATCACATTATTCATGTAACCCTTTCAAAAGCTCAATTTTTGTGAAAGAATCTATCTAGATTCCTCTCAGCTATAAAGCTATTTACCTTGCTTGTTTCTATCTTTTCAAAAAAAAATACTTTTTAGAAAAATTCTTATTTTTTATTGTTCAGATCTGTGTTTTTTTAATTTTTTACTGAATTTTTTTAATTATTTTTAAAGGCAATTTTTTTACTTTTTAGCACACCTAACTAAAATAACACCAAAAAAGAAAAAAATTATTAAAAAAAATCTTTTAAAATTCACTAAAGTGGCAAAAAATAAAGAATTCAGTACATTTTTTTTGTATTTTTATGTATTTAATTAATTTTTTGAAAATTTTCTTTCATAAATATTTTTTTACTTTTAGATACAATCTAAGTAGGTGCATCTAAAAATAATAAAGAAATGTTTAAAATTTAAAAAATATTCACTAAAAACAAAAAAAATTATACGAAAATCAAAAAAATCAATTTTCAAAAAAATTAATCCAAAAAATTCAAACCAAACACACTGATTATCTTTTTTCCATTACATATAGTGATCTATAAGCAAAACAGGATATAACTTCTCACCCAAACTTTTAGCTTATCATCTATCTTTGGCTTGGCCTTTTTCTTGACCATTCTCACTAACTAAAATAGTATTACAGCTAAAAACACTAGTCATTGCGTTGAGATCATAAGTGAAAGAATTCTAAGCCTTTTCTTCGCAGTCAGGGGACTTCGCAACTCAAAATCCGTAACATATCCTATAATATTCTTGACATATCTTGACATTTTAGGCTACATTATGACGCGCCTAAAATCGGGCCTTTCCCAAACTAAGCCTCTTTTGCTCTAATTTCCAAACTAAGCCTAGTTTTGACGGAATTCCAAAACTAAGCTAAAGCGGCTATTACACAATCGCGGCTTTTAACTGTTTGGAGGGCAAAATTTGATGAATATTAAGTGCTATGTGATCGCGAGTTAATTAAAATAAAACGCTGTTCGAATAGCGATGCTTACGCCTCAATTAATAATAACCGCTATTATGAATAGCGCTTCATTTGGGCTATCTTTCCGACCTCAATTATAAAACGTATCTGAATAGTCGCTTCATTTGGCTGTCTTCCGACCTCAATTATAAACGCTTTCTAAATAAGCGCTTGCATGATTTTCCTGATTGGCTTTATAAATAAAACGCTATTACATAGCGAGTTCAATTCGGAATAAAACCGCTATTGGCAAATTAGCGATTTTAAATTGTGAATAAAACGGTATTTAGAATAGCGTTTAAACTGTTTCAGTCCTGCTGTCCATTGTTTTGGTATAATGTGATTCAAAATAAAATTTATTGGCTTTTAAAGCCATTGTTATGTTAAAATTATTTTTTTTTTCTTTGTTTTGGTTTAGAAGGTGTAATTCAAGAAATTTTAAAACATCAATATGAAGAAAAACCTCTTTTCATATATCTATTTTCAATAATATTTTTCATATATATAATTTAAAATCATATTCATTTAGATATTTTAAGCCAATCAAGTTTCATTTACACCAAGTCATAAGGTTTTTCACTGTTCCTATTGTTAAGTATGGATTGAAAACAACACTTCACTGTTCATTTAAATTAGATTTAATTTTTTTGTACAATTATTTTTTTCTGTTGTCAGTTGTTTCGGTGATCAATGTAAATTTAATAATTTTGTTTGGCTGTACTTGAAGCCGTTCTCATATTAAATTTTTTTATTTTTTCTTTTGTCTTTTGTTTTGGTTTAGACCATGTATTCAAAATTTTTTTGGCTCTTTTGCTAAAGTGTTTTTGCATGTAAATTTTTTTGTTGTATTTGTTTTGTGTTTGTTTTGGGTTAGAAGGTGATAATGTATATTAATAATTTTTTTTTTTTTTGTTTTTCTGAAGTCGTTTTTTCATGTAATTTTTTTTCTTTTGTCTTTGTTTTGAGTTAGAAGGTGTTATTCAGAAATTTATTTTGGCTTTACGAAGGCTGTTTTCATTTAAATTATACATTATATTAATCAATTTTGTCTTTGTTTTGGGTTAGAAGGTGAGATGTAATTCAGAAAACCAAGTTTAGTAAAAACCGTTTTGTACCCGTTTTCATTAAAAAAATATTTTTTGTTTCGTCTTTGTTATGGGTTAGAAGGTGATATGCATGCTCTACAGTCCGAAGCCACCCACACACTGTGCAGCTCGACGAGCAACGACGAAGGGTGAGACGCGAGACACTGCGGAGTAGGCAAGAAAACGAAGGCCAAGCGAGAGCTCCTAAAATAAATTTTGTCAACATTTTTTGTAAAATCTTAATACATAATATACGAAGTCACTAATTTACTAAATAGCTCATACAAGCATGAAACAACATAACTGAAGTTGCAATGTAATAGTTTTCAGTTACATAGGTAGTACAGACATAATTCTCCCACAAAATACATTCTTGACACTATGAACTGAACACATATTACATACATCCTGGACATCCTGAACTGAACACACAATACATAAACATAATAGTTAGACCAGACAAACACATAATTCTATGACATAATATTGCATAATTAATAAGCCGCACATTTGACAGACACAATACATAAACATAATATATAAACATAAAATAACATAACAGTTTACTTACTCTAACACAAACATTACATATTAATGCATGACCAATATTGCCGAAGTGTAGACATTAACACTAATTCGCGGCTTTAAATCGCAGGTGGCTCAGAGTCTGAATAATCCGAAAGCTCAGCATCAAGAGACAAGCTCAGGATCCTCCATGATACCGTTGATAGCCGCAACATTTGTTCTGTTCTGTTCTTCTGGGCATCCTTCTTAACTATATATAGCAGCATATCGCGGGCTAACTACGCGCATTTGAGAAATCTCACGTTGTAGTCTTTCACATAGTCGATCAACATTATCAGGATCTTCCTTTTGGATCTCAACAGAACGTGTTTGGCACCTCAGTTCGATTTTCCTGACATAATTTTTCCATTTGCACTCGCTCTATGAATTTCGGATTTCTTAATCACGATTCTTAATTAAAAAAGATTACTTTTAAAACCCTAATTATCCTTTAATTCCTTTAACAAGCAAAAAAAAAACAAAATTTCCAATTCAACAAATATAAGTTGGTTTATTAAATTCAAAATATAAACATTTTGACTCACAGCATAATTTCAAAATCCAATTTATGATTTCAAATTTCAAAATATAAACATTTCATAATTTCAATTCTCAATTCTCAATTCCTCAATTATATAATTTCATAATATGACATTAACATATTCTGATTTATGAATTTTATGAATTTCATAATTCCAATTTTCAATTTTTAATTCTCATATTTATGATATATTTTAAAAAATTCAAAAAATTAAAAAAATTCAAACCTGATTTATGATAATACAAGCATAAAATTCACAAGCATTACAACCCTTAATAATGTGACAGCCTAAAATGTCATCCTAAAAGGATGTGTGAACAATCTGATATCGAGCAACAATTATCATTAGAACCCTAATTTCATAACCACACTGATAAAGCGTAAAAAATCCAAACCCAAATATTCAATTCACAAGCAACATCCAAAAATTCAAAAGCATAAAAAATTCCACAAATTCAAAAGCATTCACATTTCTGATTTCGGATTTCCAAACCCTGATTTCTGATTTCAAAAAATTCCAAACCCTAATTTCAAAAAAAAATTCAAAAAATTCCACAAACCCTAATTTCCAAACCCTAATTCCACAAACAAATTCAAAAAATTCCAAACCCAAAAAATTCCAAACCCTAACACATTTAATAATTCACATATAAAACCCTAACATTCACAGCAAATTAAAACACATCACATTTTCACAAACACAAAAAATAAATACATAACATTAGGGTTAACTGTCATACCACGGAGAGAGAGAGAGAGCAGAGACAGAGAGCGAGAGCAGAGAGCAGAGACAGAGAGCGAGAGCAGAGAGCAGAGGGAGAGCGAGAGCGACAGTGAACCGAAGCAGAGCAAGATCAAGTGAGTTTGAGAGCAGAGGGAGATGGAGAGTGAGAGATGAAGAGTCTGTTTAGATCGAGCAAGAGACGAAAAACCTAAGTGTCAAAAACGTGAATGCAAATGAGGGGGAGCTTCGTCTTTTATAGGAGTGTTAAAAACGCTTTTTCAATTAGCGTTTTCATTTAGCTACAGTGAAGTCGCCATTAGAAATAGCGTTTTATTCACAAACGTGATGCACAGTGAAGTCGCTATTCTGAATAGCGTTTTCTCAAAATGAAGCGCTATTAGAAATAACGTTTAATAATTTAAAACCGCTATTCCGAACAGCGTTTTATTAATTAAACTCGTGATTCACAATAGCACCTTAACTATTCATCAAATTTTGGCCTTCAAACAGTTAAAATGCTATTTGTAATAGTGCTTTAGCTTAGTTTGGAAATTCCTTCAAAACTAGGCCTAGTTTGAGAAATAAGAGGCAAAAGAAGCTTAATTTGGGAAAAGTCCCCCTAAAATCATCTAAAACCACCGAGAAAGTTTAAGGCCCACTTTCCAAGCATATGATAGACCAGTCAACAACAAAATTAGATATAATAAAAAATTAAAATTTTAAAAAGGATTATAATGTAAAAAGTTAAATTTGTAGTGTAAAATAGATAGTGTAGAAGGGCATCTTTATAATAACAAGAAACCTAAGGGGTCCCCAAGTGTTTAAAACTTTTGCAAAATTGTACTACACCGAAAAAACAAAACAAATACGCGTAGCTGATGCCCATTTTTCTGGCGACTTTCATCTATGGAAACTGGAGAGTTGGAGGAGGCACTGAAGGTGCTCCAATCCTCTCTTTCTCGAGTCAAATGGCGACTTAAATCTAATTCAAGAAGTCGGATCCAGACAGGTTATTTCCTTTTACTTGACAATTTTTCTTAATATCCTGTTTTCATCTTTTAGAAAATCTTTGCTTATCATTTGGGTTTTTGGGCTTTTCTACTTATGGGTTTTAATCGCTCTCTTTCTCATCCCATACATATATAACTGTGTTCATATATGCATATTAGTGGTCCACACTCGCGATGCCTAAAAAAATAATATCATATAAATCATAACAAGAAAAGTGCATATGCATATGTAGTATGTATGTAAGAGCTTCATTTATTAAACTCATGGTTATGGGTTCGAGGCTCTTTCCATAATTTTTACAAAAACACCAAATATAGGTGTATTTTGGAAAAACCTAAAATATGAGACGCGAAGCCTTTAGTAGACTATTTTAGTTTTTGATTATTTTAGTAGACTAAAATATTTGTGTTTGAGAATATGATTGGATTTTTTTTTATAGTTGGATTAGATATTTGTGAGAAAAAGTGAAATGATTATGGGTTTGATATGATATTTTGTTTTATTGTCTATTTTAGCCTATTTTGTCTTTTTGTAGATTTTAGTCAAAAAAATCTCCCAAACCCAACTTGCCAAACACCGCCAAAATGTCAACACCACCAGGCCTGCTATTTATACCTACTTTATTTCTTTGGATCCTGTCTTTTATTTTTTTAAAATTATAATTTTGTCTCAAGATAAAATTTCATTTCTACACTCATCCCTAATCCTCTAACCATAATTTCCCACTTTCGACAACAACTAACTACCTTCCCTTCACCCCCAACCACTGCCATCATCGCAGCCGCACCTATCTCTTCTTCTTCTGAAACCCTAATCCTAGCCACCCCCTTCCTCCTAACTATAATCTCCCTATCACCTCTCGCCGTCACGATCCAGCCATGTCGTCGCCCCTGCTCGCCTCTTGCCGTCACAACCCAACCATCTCGATCCAGATCTGGAGAGAAGAAAGGGACAGAGGAAATAGAAGAATCGGAGAGAGAAGCCATGGTTGTTCGTAGAGAAGTCCGCTAATGAGAAACATCGAGTACTCGCTTCGCCGATTGAGACTTGCAGTGGCAAAAAAATCTCCCAAACCCAACTTGCCAAACACCGCCAAAATGTCAACACCACCAGGCCTGCTATTTATACCTACTTTATTTCTAGGAAAAATTACCCATAAATCTTATATGGAGAAACATTGAACCATTTAGTCCTGGAAGTTTTTTTTGTACACCATTTAGTCCTAATTTTTTGGCAAGTTTTTTTTTGTGGTGATTTGAATAGATTTGGTTTTACATCAATACCCTTTATGTGATTGATTCTCTAGATGATTGATTCCATTTTTTATTGGATAAGGAAATGTTAACATGTGGGTTGGGATATTCATTGATTAACAGTGAACTCATTGTTTTGGGAGAGAGAATACGGGGATATTGCATGTGTTTGGTGACATTTTTTCCGGAGACCAACATTTGTCGTCAGTCTACCTTTTGTGGTGTTGTTTTCTTGGGTTTGCACTGCTGTGGTTTACGCCATCGCAATAGGTCTCCGGTTGGCACATGCAAATACAACAGTGTCATAGCCACTCAAACCCACCAACGTCAATGTATTGCCAGCAGAGGGGTTGCGTAGTTTTTAGGGTTTACAGGAAAAGGGAGTTGGTGTTGTACTCTCCCACTAACCAATAATTCCACGCTGCCAATTACGAGTCGTGATGTGCCCTACCCAACATTATGCCATTAACATCGGACAATACACACCTTTCCATCTACGTCTCTTCCATTTCGATCAGTTCGGAGGGAAAACAAAAACTAATACAGTAAGGGTTTGGGCATAGACGTAAATTCCACATTAGGAGGATTCCACATTTACCCTTACTACATGGTTCCACAAGTGGGGGAACATGGATTATTTGGTCATTAACACTCGATTGGGACCTATTGGATTATAAGATAAAAGTTAGGACTAACTGGATCATAAGATGGGAATTTGGGATTTATTGGTGCATCTCCCTTATTTCTTTTGATCCTGTCTTTTATTTTTTTTAAATTATAATTTTGTCTCAAGATAAAATTTCATTTATACACTCATCCCTAATCCTCTAACCATAATTTCCCAAACCCTAATTTCCCACTTTCGACAACGACTAACTACCTTCCCTTCACCCCCAACCACCGCCATCATCACAGTCGCACCTGTCTCTTCTTCTTCTTCTTTTGAAACCCTAACCCTAGCCACCCCCTTCCTCCTAACTATGATCTCCCTATCACCTCTCGCCATCACGATCCAGCCATGTCGTCGCCCCTGCTCGCCTCTTGCCGTCACGACCTAACCATCTCGATCCAGATTTGGAGAGAAGAAAGGGACAGAGGAAATATAAGAATTGGAGAGAGAAGCCATGGTTGTTCGTAGAGAAGTCCGCTGATGAGAAACATCGGGTACTCGCTTCGCCGATAGAGACTTGCATTGGCAATCGCGATTGGACTTGAGAGGGATTAGGGCTTTCTTTTACCCTCACTACTTGTTCGATTTCAATCTGATTCACACCAATCAAATTGCTTTCGGGTTCAAATCCTTCTGCTTTGTTCATTGATTAGATTGTTGAGAAATGATACTCCATATTTGAATGAGATTTGGTGAATATAGGCCAACCTTGAATACATCGGTGTTGTCGGCTGTGATGGTAGCCGAAGTTGAGAGGAGTTAGGGCAATGGATTGGTCGTTGGAGATGGGAATGGTGAAGGAGGGTGTGGCCGGAGCTGGTAGTGGTTGTGTTGGAAGGGTGGATAGGGAGAGGGTATAGTTGGAATTAAGGTGGGGGTTTAAAGAAGTAGGGGGGCCCAAAGAAAAAAGGTAGGGGTAAATAACAACCCTCTTTTATATATTAGAATAGATAGATGTGCTTCGATATAATAAACCTGCTATGATGTTGTGAATGAGTATGTGTAATGATTGGACGCGTGTGTATTTTAATTTCAGTTCATTAATGCTGATGACATAGGAATTTTGGGTCTTAGTGATTTATCCTTCTCTCTTTTTTCTTTTCCTATGTGGCGGATGGGTGAGGTCCATTTGTGTGCCCCAATGGTAGGTCCCTTTCTATGGGTTAGGTTAAATCTGGCCAGCAACTGGTTACCCCTAGGCCAGGGCCCACAGATGCAATGATGTCCCCACGGGAGCGGCCTTTTTTATTAATCAAAAAAAAAAAAAAAAGAAGTCATTACATCCTTTGGCCATACACAAAAGCCACATTACATACATGTATATAACATTGTCTCACAAGATATTACACTATATCTCATAATTAAACACACAATCTCCAAAAGGTATAGCACAACTTCATTCACATCTCTATATATATACATAAATGTACACAAAAGATGGAATCCACACCTCAAGCTTTGTCCTTCGAAATATGTAAATAAATGGGGTGTGCTACATCAGCTCAGTGAATAATAAGAATCTTGGAGCACACGTTACCATGAATACATTGTAATCAAAAGCATAAATGCTTAATTTAAATCAAAGGATAGTATAATTTTATATAACAAGAAACATAGCTCTTTGTCATAGTCATGTTGTACTCATCACGTTGGCCAACAAAATGGGCTAGCTCATCTAGATTCCCCATGTGGTGAAACGATAAGCTGATAACTTTTCAATCACATATAGCCAAGGCTCCCAAAATGCGTCTAGAACATAGCATTTGATATGAACAACAAGAATAATATTAGCATTGTACATAATAAAGCATTGAGTAAAAGTTGTATTAAAACCTTGCTCCGATAATTCCCATTACTCACCTCAGTTTCTTTGAAGTGTTCTTTGATGCTCTCAATTCAACAATCCTACATAACATATTGTGCACGTTGAAAAAAGGATACCTAATGTAACCTACTAATTTTCTTGTTTTCAACCTTCATGAGCCAATGACCAATGTAGGCCCATTCTATAGCTCTTAAATCCTCGTTAAAGTGTCCTTGGGCACTCTTAAGGTTGGTAATCGAATTGCACTTCAAAAATAGATCATTTTAGGCTAAACAGTGGTTGGGTGCTTGAGCCATATTAAATTCCAAAATTTCAAATTCTAGAGGCCAACGCTCGCTAAACGCCCAATAGGCTGTAGAGTGGCTGTGCCCAATTTCGAGTTTTTGGTTCTTTTCCAAGAGTTTAAGGTGCTTCACACTCCTACAAACCTTCTAAGGTCTGAAATTAAATATACAATGGTCTTGATAGGTGAGTGTTGCTGAGATGAGGATGCTAAGGTAGATGTGTGGCAAAACTAGATAAGACAGAATTAGGAAAGAGTGTGTGTATTCAGGAATGGGTAGGAGTAGCACTGATAGAAGATAAGTTGAGAGAAAATCGATTGAGATGGTTTGGTCATATTCAACGGAGACCAATAGAGGCAGTAGTGATGCGATGCAGTAACGGTAGATGGAAGTGTTAGGGGACCGGGTAGGCCTAGATTAACGTTGCCTAACGTTGTAAATAGAGATATGAATCTACTTAATTTGACTAACGAAATGACCTTTGATAGAGCCGCGTGAAGGAGGATTCATGTAATTGACCCCATTTGATGGGACTTAAGGCTTGGTTTTATTTGGTTTAATGGTCTTGATCTTGAAGGTCTCAATTTGAAAGGGAGAATACCAAGTTCTTCTCTAATTCTTCATTCATGGTATCCAATCTATTTTCTTCTAACCTACACATGATAATCAAACTATTAACATATTAAAATGAAAGAAACAAATAGCAAATATGAATTCTTACTTTAATTAGCAAGTACAAGTAGAGTTTTGTTAATTTTCTCCCTTCTCCTTTCTTTTTCTTGATTTTTTCCCGTTATTGTCTTTCCTTTTCTCTTCTCTCAAATAAGACTACAACACAAGCTTTTCTCTAAGCTCTTCTCTTCCTTGTTTATTCAGCCATTATAGACATATGAAAGTGTATATGTATATATTAGCCACTTCTCCATCACCAAAAATAGGAAGAAATAATCAATTTGGAGGTGTCGTTCTCTCCTTAACCTGTCGTTCTCTCCTTAACCCATCAAATGAGCTATCCACTTAATTAATTAAGTTCATTAAAACTAATTAATCATGACTAGGGTAATTAATTACTCTTACTAAGGTTAATCATGCTTATGTTAATTAATTGGGACTACTCTAGTGATCCCGCTTATCCCTAATTAATCTTGATTAATTTTTATACAAAGCTCAAAAGATAGCAAAAATGAACATGAGACAATTGAGCATCTTGATTAAAAAATAAAAGATCATGAAGTCACTCAGATACACTCTACTTAGTGAAGCATGAGGACAATTCTACTTTAATTTCATATTCTCGTAACATTGTCACAACTCTTTAAGAGTAATCCACAGGCATCTTCAAGATACTACCATAGCATGTTCAAGTCACTTAACACACAAGCATAGTATATGGCATTCTCACATAGGGAAAAATGATGGATGTGCGCATATGCCATGCAAAGATAAGAAGTATGGACACAGGCACGTGACACGACAACACGAACACGTTGGCACGTAAATTTTTAAAAAATGTAGGACATAACACATAGGAGATGTGCAAAATATATAAATTTATTATATGTCATAAATAAGGACTAGTGTATGCCCGTACCTGAAGGCACGGTGCAATTAATAATGAGATTAAAATATAAATCAAAATAAAATTATTAAAACATAATATTAAGATTTTCCTTTTTAATGGTGGTGGACAGTCACAGAGCGGAGGTGGCGATGAGTCCCTTAGTTCAACACCCATTTCAAAAACTTTTTCAAATTTTCTTAAGTTTTGTGAGAAAATTTTAATTTCTACTATAATGCTATTATATGTATTAAAAGTTCAGCTCATTAAATTTATTTAAATTTTTATTAAAAAATTATAAAATTAAATGTTAGTATTTTATGATGAAATGTTTTCAAATTATTCTAATATCAAAGTTAATATTTTTTATAAAAATTATTAATTTTATTGAATTTATATTAAAAATAATACATGGTATAGCGGTTTGGTTTGATTTGATTTTTTAAATTATTTTTTGTTTTTTTTGAAAAAATAGAAATTAATTTGTATTTTACTTATTTTTTTTGTACTTTTTAAATGCACCTAATCTAAATATATATGAAAAGTAAAACAAATTGACTAAAATATTAAAAAATTCTAACAATAAAGAAAATTCAAACAAAAATCTGTGCATTTTTATTCGAATTTTTGTCTTTTTTAATGAATTTTTTTTCGTATTTTAGTTTTTAAATGCATCTAATTTTGATATATCTAAAAAGTACAAACTAAAATATGGAGAGAAAAAAAAAAAAGTTGAGTAATAACAAATGAAAACCAGTCTAAAAATAATTTCTAAAAAATTAAACCAAACAAATATGTTTTCAACACCCATTTCAAAGACTTTTTCAAAACCATAAAAAATCAACACTCATTTTCCATTAAGGAATTAAATCCATTTCATAAATCAAACTAAAATCAAAACCCATTTTATAAAGATCAAATATTATTTCATATCCAAAACTTTTTAAAAAATTAAATCCTAACCCTACAAAAAAAAATCTATATAAATAAAGAACAAACAGAACTTTAAAAAAAAATAAAAAAATAATTAAAAAAAACCCAAACACATCTTAAGGTTAGAAACACAGAACCCAAAAGCCTTTGATGCCACTCATTCTCTCTCACCAAAAGCCATCATCATCATCAAAAAACCCCCAAATACATCTGCCTTGTCATCATCATTATCATCACCAAAAGCCTCTGATGCATTTTCTTCACGCTCCCCTTTGAAATTTTCAAATCTCAAAAAGTCTTAATAAGCAAGGTTTGAATAGAAATTCACAAAACCGCTAAAACATCTCAGCCACATAACTTGTATGCATAGATTTGCACTTTAGCCTTGTTTGGCATAACCTATTTTAATCCATCTTTTTATCTTTTTTGGGTCACATCAATCAACATCTCTCTACTTTTTCACATTTTTTATAAAAAGTCAAAAAGTGTACTTATTTAGGACATCCCAAACCACCCCTTTCTCTCTCTCTAAAAAAAAAGAAAAGGAAAAAAAAAAAAAAAAAGCAAAACAAACCCAGGTCTTTAAATTGTCTAACCTTCATTAACAGTAATCACATGGACATAATTCCGCAACAACGCCACCAATCTCACCAACCACCACACAAAAGAAAAAAAAAAAAGTACATAAATTTGAAAAAGAGAAACAAAATTAGAAGATTTGATTGATGCAGAGTAGTGGTAGGGGAAAGAGATTCCTTGCTCCTCCTCTATGCTTTAGGACATCCCCCCTCCTGTGCCCAAACTGATGGATTTGCCGCCTGTGCTTTCGGATGAAGAAATCGTCAAATCGATGGTTTCTCCTCTCAATTGGATCAAACTGCAAATGTTGTAGAAGTGAAGTAAGGCTGAGAGAGAGAAAGATGTACCAGTGTTACGGTGGGAAATAAGGCTGAGAGAGAGAGAGAGAAGAGAGAGAGAGAGGGTGGGTGTTTTGAAAGACAGAGAGGAGAGTTTATAGGGAGAGTTCGATGAGCGTGGGTCTCTCCTCTGTGGTGGGTGGGTGTGTGTGGGTGTTGGGCGGGAAGTTGTGGTAAGGTGAGAGAAAAGGTTATCATCTCAGCCGTCCATCTAAATACGTAAATGAATCATGACCATTAAAATGTCCTAGTAGAACAATTGTCTCTAGGATGAATTCAAAAACCCTGTCCCTTATTATATAGATAATTATTATAAGTCATATATTTGAATATTTAAAGTCTCAAGGAGAGGAATAGTTATAAATTTACATTATTTTTGTTTTGTCATTGGATTCCAAAATATTTTATTTAAACTTGTAATTTGTTTTGTGTGTGTCCAAATGTTGGGAAGTGTCTGACGAGTGTCGTGTCGTGTTGATGTCCGACAAATTGTCAGACACAACACGTTACCTTCTTAGAAGTGTCGGTGCTTCTTAGATGCAAAGTAATAACAAGATGGAAAATAAAATATGATGAAATTATGTGAGAAATTTTAGTTTTCGATATTGGTATTTTCAAAATTTTCATGATTTCTTATCAGTTCATAATTTTATTTATTTATTTATTTATTTTTAAATCTGACACATCTTAAAGTAGGAGGGAAATTGGAAGGAAAATAATTTATTTTCTTCCCATTTTCCTTTCTTTTTTCTTTTTCCTATGCCTTGGTCTTCCCTTCATTTTTTTTTTTTTCATTAGCCAAATGAATCATTTTAGTTTGTGAATTTTGCATTGGTTTGGTAAAATGCAAATTGATGTACGCTTCTTAAGTTGTTCTCTTGATGCATGTGTGTAAATAGACATCTTTAAGCAATAGAGATTCTATTGAACGTGATATGGTGTTAAGTTTTGATGCTTCAAAGTTAATGGAATACCTTTGGGCAGATATCTTGGCCTTGTGCTCAAGGATGAGGGCAGTTGTAATGGTAGACTACGGTGGAAAGATGCCTGAACTGCAAGAACGACTTTATGAAGTTATCAAACATTGCCAAAAGGTTTACCCTAAACAAGCTCTGTATCTCAATTGGTTGAAGCTTTATTGCTTGCTACCATTTTAATATAATCCAGATAGATTTATCCTAGTTATTTACCATTGTTGTAGTCATTTTTTCCAATGCCATTACCAATTTTCTTTTTGATAATTTTTTGTCCAATTATGTGATATGTGATTTTCAATTGTAGCATGAAATTATTGCTTATTATATTATTTTGTCATATCTTATAAAAAAGAAGGTTTGTCATAAACTTATATCCCCTAGTTGAGTTCATTTAAATGCCAAAATGGTATGCTTTCTTAAGATAGAGCATTTTGGAAAAAGTTAGTCTACGCTCCATATTGGGCCAAGGGCTACCCTTTCAAATATGAGCTAGGTAGTTATAGAGTGGAGGTAGGAATAAAGGCTGCGTTGAGGTTATGAAGTCACTCGAACTAAAAAGAAAGGGAGAGGGAGACTGAGGTTACGAAGTAAGGTCAGCTAGTTAAGGAAAGCTCTGCTAAAAAAAATGCTTAGCCAAGTAGTTCTTAAAAGCTAGCCAAGGGCTTTTAGTCTTGTCCTTGAGTGAAATATTCTCATCAGACTTTTTTCTATTTGATTTCTATCTTATCTTGTCTTTAATTGTCGATCTTCCTTAATCCCAAAGGGTTAGCTTGGTGGCAAGGCCTTAGGTCTTGGGAGTGTACTCCCTCGAAGGTTCAGGGATTGAAACCTCTAGGCCATCGGACTGAGAGAAAACTCTTGAATTAACCATGATGCACTTGCAGGAAACTCCTTGCCAAGGGCCTGTGCACCCTTGGGGATTAGTCGGACTTTGATCCGGACACTCCAATGCCATCTTCCTTGAATGTGAGCCAAAATAAATCATACATACCGAGCCTTCTCCTTCGGAAACTCACTCGCTCAATTGCAAAGAATGCAAGAAAATCTAGACTTCTCTACCCCGCAATGGGTTAACTTAACTAGAGGAAAGGCAACATAAATGTTTAGAAGCCTAGTTTCAATTTCTTTGATCTGGGAGGTTTGCGTTCTTCGTTCATCCTTTCAATCTATCAGGTGGATGCTTGATCGAATTGTGTCACCTTTACTATATTTTGGGAAATTTGGTTGGAAAGGAATGCAAGAACCTTTGAAGATAAATTTGAGGATATAGAGTGAATATGGGATTCATTTTGTCATATATTATCATTTTGGGCTTTGGTTTCTTCCCCTTTTAAGGGGAGTCCGTTTTTTTTTTATTAATAGGGATTAGAGAGCAATGTGTTATGTAATATCTTATCTCCTTTTTTTATGGACTCCTTGTTTTCCTCTTGTATGTTTGTATGTTTTTTAATGTTATTTTTAAATAAAATTTCTTTGTTTGAAATAAAAATGCATGACCAACATAAAGTAAAATATGCAATGATAACTTCTAACATATGTAAAATATAACGATATAGACTAAGATAAAAAAATAAAAAATAAAAAAGATATGCAATAAGAAACCAAGCATAAAAGTATGCATTACATATATTATATTTATGAAGCTTTATCTTCCACAGATTGCATTTTCAAGTGTGTATATATATATATCCTAGTGTTTGACCCTTATAACAAGTTAAATCCTGGGGTTTTAGTTTCTTCAATTTAAACCCCAATTTGTTTATTTAGTTTCAATCTCAATCATATGTTTATTTCTGTTAAGTAAAACTAACAAAAAATGGGCATTTTTGACATTAAACCAATCTTTTTACAAAAATATTTATAATAACTTTATATGTTGAACAAAATTATCATTAAAACCTTACTATTTTCAAAGATCAAACCCGCGTACTTCTCTTTATTCACTGCCGGCAACCCCATCACCCATCAATTGGCACCCGTGCACAACCTACCTCTTGCCCTACCCCACCACCCATCCCTTAGATCTACCCCCACGCCACCCTATCTGGTCACCCCCTCCTCCAAAACCTTCTTCTCCCATGACCATCTTCTCTAGATCCATCCCCAAACCCTTTAGTGTCACCAACACCCCCCACTTCCCTCATTCCTTTCCTTGCCACATCGTCACTACTGGCCTCCCCTTATACAAGCACCACAATCTCCTCATTCCCTTCCCCAGCTACATTGCACCACTGGACGCCACTTTTCTAGGCAACCCCACCCTCTCATAGAGCCCCCTCGCTGTCTAGTGCCACCCCTTGCCTCATTGATCTACAGGTAATGGTCATCAATCAATGACAAATCGTTGGACAACAACGATGGTGAATTGAAATTGTTGGATGACAATGGGGACGAGGTGATATCTATTGACGAATCACTGTAAAGAAAAGGGGCTGGAAAGAGGACAGTGGCTGCATGAGAGATATTTAAGGAATGGGGATTTGATATCATGTGCACAGGTTCATTGTAGGCTCACAATGTGTGGTATGGTGGTTGTGGTCTAGTATAATTAAGGATTAATAGTAATTCAGAAGGACAAATGAACGAGTGCCACACGTAATATTTTTTTTCTCTCGTTAGATAAGTTAGCAGATATGGACAGATGACTAAGATTGATATTTAATTCAAAACTTAGGGTTTAAATAGAAGAAATTAAAACCCCAGAATTTGATTTGTTACAAAGGGTCAAACCCTAGGTAGTTTTTTTTTTCTTCTTTTTTTTTTTTTGTTGTAATTTTCCCTAAATAATATCTTAGATTACATATTTTGATTATATAACATGCATAAAAGAGACATAAATATATTGATTGTTGTCGTGTCTAGGCAAAATTGGGGTTGGGCGCTCAACCCACATTAAATTTCATATAAAAGAACTCAAAATTTATGTAAATTACATATGAAAGACATTAAATGTAATGCATTAGACTTGAAGAGGAATAAGGACTAGGGTTTAACCATAGATATTGAACTATTGATAGATAAAGTTCTCTCAAAGGAAGTTGACAGTTTTGGAACCGGCCAATATAGCGTAGAACCTTATTTCACTTATTCCATGTAGGGCTTGCTGCACTCATTATATAAGTGGTTTTTTCCTTCCAAAATGTTTTTACAAGACCAACTGGATATGGTCTTTAACCATTTTATTCTTTTCGATGTTCAAGTCCATCCAATTCTGCTAATAAAAATAATACTATCTCGTGGGAGAAGCTGAATGCCATTCTTGAGAACTTTTTATTGCATTCTTTTCATCATACTTGAGTTCTAGTATGTGGTTTGCATTGGTGTCCAACCCAGAACTAAACAGATTGACTTAGTTCTCAAAAAGTTGGATTCGATAATCAAACCATAAGATGAGAAAACTGAACGAACCCCAACCTATTAAATTTGATTCAGTTTGGTTTGAAACCGTGCATTAAAAACAATTAATTTAAAGAGCTAAACAAAATAATGGCTCAAAAACAATTAGTTTGAAGAGAAATAAAATAATAGACTAACATTTGTTGTTTTTTTTGCTCGTGAGATGTTTTTATGTTGCTAAGCTCATCTTTTCAGTCATGTATATTTCTAACCGGGCAATCCTCCCAATGTCCTAGCAGATAATGAACCATGTATTAAGTACAGTCTAATCATTTCATACATCTCAACCAGAAATCAAACTGGTAGATAACCAAACAGTAAAAACAACAAACTCTCCTAAAAAAGAAGCAATTCAGTTTGGAAACATAGATTATTAAATTCTGGAAGGGACCCATTACCGCGGCACGAAATCCAGAGCATCTGAGCACATAATATTTACATGCACACATATAAGTATTATGCATATGCATTTGTGTGTATGTACATTTGTGTGAGATGGTGGTTGTTGTGGGACAGTTACTTACCTGAAGATTCAGTAAGAGAGGGGATGAAAAATTTTCAATTCTTTCCTCATCCAATACCTTTTTTGTTTTCATCACTTCCTCTGTTTAAAAATAAAGGCAAACAATTTTTATAAGTCATCTTCTTCCAGCAAAATAACCAAAAAAGAAATGTGAAATATCACCCCTATGTCCTTTCCCGCTATGTTTCATTTTCAAATTTGGAAAGCTATTTGAAATGGTGGTTTTTCCTAGAACTGAATTTCCTTTCCAACCTTCTGGACCTCCAATAGGACTTAAAGTACACAGACATGAGGTTCAATGAAACATCATTGAGAAGATTCTCCGATAACAGGAAACAGTTGCTCAGTTCCCTCTTCTTGTCTCTTATTTACAATTGCTTATTCAAATGCTGTCCTCTCTGTGCTCTCTACTTTTGCAACTTAAGCCTTAGGCCTCACTTGGGGAGTAACTATTTTAGCCAAAAAGTCAAAAAGTTGCTATAAGTTATCACATCACTCTTTCTACTCTTCTGCACATCTTTTTGTAAAAAGGCAAAAAGTTACTAAAATAGTTTGTTTCCAAACGATGCATTAGTCTCGGAGTATGTTGGAGAAGTGAATGCACTTAAATTACTACTTGGTGGTGTATCAACAGGAAAATTTGGTCCGTCTAATTCAACACCATGATTAGTTCTTCACTGCTACAAATCCTTTCTTGATTTTTCTTCACCCTTTAAAATGGTCTCAGCTCGTGCAACATTTCAACTTTTAACCCAATGTTAGCTACAAAATTCTAATCAGACTTCTTTGGCATTGAGCAAAGATGGTTGGGTTATGATTTTATTCCATTATTTGGATGGTTTTTTCCTTAAATGTTTATACATCATTATACTATCATTTTCTTTCTTGTGTAGAGACCTCAATCAAGTTGTGGTGTTATTTATTTATTTGTTATGTTTTAATTCTCCACATAATTTAGTTCGGTGGATATTGTTGGAGGTACTGTGTCAGCACTGTATCTACTACATTTTCTTTATGTCCCTGCTATTTGTTGGGAGTTTAATTTTAGGAATTAATATAACATTTTTTAGACCTTTTATAGATGAATGATTCTTCTTCTTATTAACTGAGGGAAAAAATACAAAATATATAGAGTACAAAGGACACTAATTTAGGGAACTAATTTTACATGAAATTAGGAAACAATCGCTAAAAATCA